TTTTGTGTATAGGGACCTTCCGGTTTGCGGATCCACAGGGGAACCGACTAATCCGGAATCGAGCCAGGTAGGACCACAAGGGCGACAAAGCTCTAAGAGACTCAAGCCATCTCATCCAAGCGCTCTTAGGTAAAATAGAAAAGTTTCCAATCAATATATTTTTTGTGGACCGTATTTCCAAATCAATGCTTGATAACTCACAGTGCCTTTGGTCTAGTCTTGTCAACGTGGCATTTAAATAAACTCAAAGAGTATCTACAATGTGGTGAGTCTAGTATTTTTAATGTGACATTTAAATAAACTAAAAAGTCTTGGATAACATGAATAAAATTATGTAAATTCAACGAAATCTACTCCAATGTAAAGAGATCATGTCTCTACTTGAGTCTAAAATAGAGGGTACACTAAGTTTCTTTTTCTGGTTGTCACATCAGCAGGACTCAATCTATTTTTATTTACATTGGAGGGTATATTTTTTTAGGCTAGGTCTATTTTTTAGGTGGCATATAATTTTTTGTGGTTGAACCCAAAACATTGTGATTATCAAACGAGTCATTTTACAGGGCTCGTTTGATTAGGTACCAAAAATAATAGAGTTGGATCATCAATTTTTTACTTTTTTTAATCAATGATGTTTATTTTAGCCCCAACGTTAACATGTTAATTAATGCATTATTCCGCTAATACGTTATGCTAATATAAAATTGATTTTAGAATATATATTTATTTATCGATATAAGAAGAAAAAAAATAAAAGTATACTTATTTTTTCACCATATAATACTCAATTGTCGTTTTATTATAATATTTGGTGTGATATAATCTCATAATTATTATTTATAAAAGTTATAGAAGTAGTCTTTTCTTCTTAGTTCTGTAATAAAATTTAAATAAAATTTTATGTATAAATATTTACAAAATACACACATGTTTTCTTGAATTTAATTTTCTCATGATAATAAAAGAAATTTGAGTTAGCAACTGCCAAATAATAAACCCTTACGTAATCAAGAGATTTTTTTAATTTGCATCATAAGGCTTTATAGTTTATTTAATATACTAGGCAATATAAATATATATTTTACAATAAATTCATTATGGTAACAAATAAAAATAAAAAATAACTAAAAAGTATCATGGTTGAAAATAAAATACAAATAAATCACATGTTGAAATTGTAAAAAAAATAGTTACTATTTTTAATTTTATTATCTAGCCATGAGTAAAATTATTTATGTATGTGATCATTATCTCTTAAATGGTAAATTATTTTAATTAAAAAATTATTTATTTTTATATAATTAAATAAAGATTAAAAGATACGATCGAAAAATATTAAATTGCCAACTTGATTTCGCCTAATTAGTTAGAAGGAGAAAAATATTTGACAGGTTATGATTGTTATATATATTAGGATGGAAGTCAATATTATGCGAAAAAAAATATGGTAAAGAATAAAAATTAGTTTTGATGTTTATGTTGACCAAAATATTATTAACATAATCATGAAAAATCAAATTACAGTTTATTGTAATGGATATCAATAAAATTATTTTAGATGTTAATAAAATTATTCAAGAAATGAGTCTTTTTTATCATATCTGATTCATAAATGTGTATATAAAAACAATTAATGCATATATTTAAAAGAATTTCAAATAAAGTATACATTAAATGCTCACATATTTTTTTCTACTATTTTTAGTAATTGGTTGTTCTATTTATATATATAGATGTATTATTTAAATAATTTTTTATATGAATATATTTTTAATAGAAAAATGTATTTCCTCAACAAGAATGTACACACATAACTTGACATTTAGGTTTCGATAATAAAAAAGAACGACTGTATGCAATGAGATTATGATGAAGATCGTGTATCGAACTATTTGAATTTGTGAAACCCGACACTGTTGGCCGTCAGTTAACATTTGAACGGTACTCAAACATGAGCAATTTTGTTTTTCTTATTCCATAAGTTCTCTAAATGAAATACACAAGAGATTTAAAGAAAAAAAAAAAAAAATACTAGGTTCACAACTAGAGTCCTATAAAACATAAGTTAACAAAGCCAAATGCTAATAAGGTCCTAGCTGCTTGTCGAGTCGTTGCGGCGCGATGGGATCTCGATGGTTGTCGCGGCGAGACCAGAGGCGCGATGGTAAGTTGTTGCAGCTGCGTTTATCCATACAGCTGCCCGGACGCCCGATTCACATCATTTTCGTCCCCTTCGAGTATATCCTTGTCCTTAAGGATAAAATTAAGAAATTGGTGGCAGATATCTCGCAAGTTCTGCCAAGTCGCCACTATCTTCGGCATTTTTTCACACTGAACTAGAACCTCCCAACGAAAACGGCCGCCTCTTTTTATCCACCGATACTCCTCTGCCCGACAAACTAGATCAAGTTTGTTAATATGGTTGAACGAAGATGTAACCCTGGAACCCAAAAGCTAGCCTCCTCTTTGTGGACTAATAGCCCATGTCTCGATCTCTTCAGGATCACTTCCCATGAAGTCAGAGAAGGGTCTTTCATGATTTCCATGTAAGAGAGCGATGTTAGTAGAGTATATTTCTTTGAGAGGTGTTGTAGCAAAATATTTTTTTACCGAGTATCGAATCGAAAGATTCGTTCCCTGGGTCGATCTCAAGGAAGTTAGCCAGATATACTTGTGCGATTATTCTAACACAAAAGAGAAAATAATCTAAACACTCTAATCAAGATGGTTGGTTTTGATTAATAACTACGAAAGCTTAACGAAATTAATCGAAATTTCAAGCAAAGACGGTAAACAAGAAATGATAAAGAAGCTAGGGAGTCGGAGAATATTTGTTTTGGTTTGAATTGCAATTAACGGGCAAGTGACCATTCGGTTAAATGATTCGAATAACCTACACGTCTAGAGATTAATCCTCAATAACTCTTCGTAACATGAGAATAAAAATAAACGGCAAACCACATAAATCAAGCAACACATAGGCAATATAGTTAAGAACAAGCCTATTTCATACGAGCCTAGATCGACCAACTCCTCCCATTTCGGTTCTAAGAGTTGATTAAGTTATCTTGGACGGTGTTTAATCGACTAAGCATTTAGAAAAACCAACATCATACGAGAATGAATCAAATTCAATCAAAAATCAATTAGAGATTGAAGTGTCACCCTTCAACAATTCTCGACATTCAAACACGATAATTGAAAAACCCTTTTTAAGAATAGCTCGCATAAATTCAAGGATTCCATAAGCATGATAATACAAATGAATTCACGACACCATCTCTTATCCCTAGCTAAACAAATTAGCTACTCATATTGAATTCAACATAAGCATTCATAACAACCCAAGCATTCATATCCATAGATTAATTGAAAATTAAAACATACAATTGAATAAGAAATCCCAAGTTGAAAACAATGACGAAATCTAAGCCCAAATCCATGATCAATTGTGTGTTCTAAGGTGCAAAAATAAAGAAAAAGAGATTGGGGATCCCTAAGGTCTAGGGGTTACCCCAATATATAAGTATCGAACAACCGAGCAAAAACGAGAAAAAAAGGGAAAAATAAAAACAAGGTCGTCGAAGTCGCGAGTCGCGATGCCAGAGGCTCTGTTAAAATCGCAGCTAGCGACTGGGCGCTCGCGAGTCGTGACCTGAAGTCGTGGGTCGCAACTTGGGCTGCACTGCATGACTTTACGTTTCGGGCTCGTCCGAACTCAGAATTGAGTTCTATTTTTTGCTACGCGTTGCCAACGAACCCTTTCTCAAAACCATTTTTTTTTCCAAAAAATAATATTTGCCTGAAGCTCATGACCTACACACCAAAAACGACAAGTGCCCGAAGAAAACAATGACACACGAACGAAAACACATAAAGACTCAAAATAAAGAAAAATACGCAATAAAACACAAAACAGACTATAAACGTAAGAAACGGTCTAAAATGGGGAAAAAAGAAAAGCAAAACAAACACGAAAAATGCAACAAAAAATAGGACAAACAAACTCCTCCACACTTAAACCTTTGTTCGTCCCGGACAAAAAGAAAAGACAAGGCATAAAACTAAAAACGAGCCTGGATAGGTAGGATAAATATAGGCTAAGTGACTCGATTTTATTACATAACTCAAACACCTTACCCCAGAATTATACACTCAGTCGGTTGGTCAAACATACCGGATCCTCCCCCACACTTCTCCTAAATCCACACGTGATGCAAAATAGTTATTTTTATTACTATTATATTATTTTAGTATTTAAATGTTTAGTAGTTTTCTTGTTGATCAAGTTAGGTTTAGGATTAGAGGCCTTATATAAAGGACTTCCTCGTGTTTATTTTCCTAGTTGATTTTGAATCAAATAAGATATTGTTGAGTTTTTGTGAGTTTTACGAGAGAGTATCGTCTATCCTTCCCATTCGTACGCTTTCCTACATCAGTTGACATCAACAGTCAGTACGATTCGCGATGTCGCTGGGACGACAAGATGCCGAAAATGAATAACGTGATGCAACCTTCAATGATCGGTTTCATCAGATTGACTATCGATTTCAACAGTCGGACGTGCGCTTCACGGATTGGTTTGTCGATCTTTCGATGGAGATCGATGATTTTCATTTGACGCTTAACAACGTGGTTGTTTCAGAATTGCAAACGAACCGCGATGGAACTGGACCGTGGCAATCGCGGGGGAGCCACAGGCGGATGTGGAGGACGCAGCTATGTCGGGGCACCCCGACAGAGGTCCCCGTCGCCTCTGAACGACACGAAGAACAGAGAGAGCACCTGGTCGGTGGACAACTCTTTCACTAGCTGTAATATCCCGATATTTTATCGGTATAAATTATGTTTTAATTCCGATATAATAATGTTAACGTTTATTAT